TCAGCGGTTACACAGGACCACTGCAAACAATCTGCTCAAACAAGCAGACATTCAGGTGGACACCACTCCACCAGAAATGCTTCGATGAAATCAAACGTCTAGCATGTAGGGCTCCGATCCTGAAGCCCGTCCAGTGGAACCCACCGGAAAGCCTCTCAGAAGAAGAGAGGACCAAACTCCACGTCTGGGTCATAACAGACGCATGCCCAGCGGGCATGGGTGCATTAATTGGACAAGGCGAAAGGTGGCAGACTTGCCGCCCGGCCGCATTCATGTCCAAAAAGTTCACCAACACACAACGTAGGTACTTCGCCTACGAGCTCGAGGCACTGGGTGTCCTCGAAGCGCTCATGAGATGGCAAGACGACCTCATGGGAGGCCGTGAATTCACAGTAATCACGGACCACAAAGCTTTGGAATATTTCAAAGCGAAAAACCACAACTCAGGAAGACACCTGAGATGGCAAGCCTTTTTCGCAAGCTTCAATTGCGAAATAAAATACGTGGAAGGCCACAAAAACAAAGTGGCAGATGCACTCTCAAGATACTACGACTCGTCAACGGACGAGGATCTGCATTTCGACGATTATGTGTCGGCGGACATCCACCTGGACAAAAATGCAGAAGATATCATTCCCGACAGAATCGAGGAATACGAAGAACTGCTACTAAGCAGTACCCTGAGTAAAAACTCAGAGAAAAAGAGACTCGCAGCGATACGCGCGAAAAACACCCTAGAGGAAGCTCTAGGGGGGAGCGATAACCTAGAGGAAACTCTAGGGGGGAGCGCCCAAAATCTGGAAGAAATCATAACTCCAGAAAAGAACCTTCGAAAACAATTCGAAGAAAAAGACCTCATTGAGGCAATAAAATCTGGATACTTGAAAAGCCAGATCCACCGGGAAATCCTAGAGAACCCGGGGAATTTCAAAAACTTCTCCGTAAAAGACGGACTGATAACCCGACTTGGAGAAGGAGGAACGACCCAGATAGTAGTCCCGAAAGGAAACTACGAAAGGAAGTCCATTCGGGAATAATCCTCGAGAGCATCCACGAAACACTTGGACATCTAGGATCCAAGAAAACAGTGGAAACCCTCCGTCGACACTTCTGGTGGAAGTCGATGAGAAAAGACACCCACAAGTTCTGCAGGTCTTGCGGAACTTGCCAAACAACCAAGAAAAGCACCAGGAGAAATCCCGGAATGCTTCACCCACTCCCGACCCCCGAGGCACCATGGTCATCAATAGCCATGGACTTCACAGGTCCATTCCCAACAAGCTGGGATATGATTACCTCTGGGTAATCATCTGTAGGTTGACGTCCAACGTCCACCTAATTCCAATAAAAACAACAACGAACGCACTAGAACTAGCATTCGTATTTCTTCGTGAAGTTGTAAGACTCCACGGTCTACCACACTCGATCATATCAGATCGAGACTCGAAATTCACGTCAAAATTTTGGCGCGAACTACACCGAATACTCGGTGTACAGTTGAAATTCACAACTGCATTCCACCCGCAAGGCGACGGCCAAGCGGAAAGAATGATACAAAAAGTAGTACAAATACTACGCGCGATGGTTAGACCAGACCAACGCGACTGGGCAGCGAAACTGTCGATGGCGGAATTCGCGATCAATGCGAGCTCGAACACATCGACAGGATTTGCCCCGTTCGAATTAATCTACGGCCATATGCCAAAAATGTGCCTAACAGCACCACTCTCGGACTACCCGGGAATAAACGACTTTGCTCAAAAAGCGAAGGAAAACCTCATGGCAGCACACGACGCGATAATACATAATCGCGCTGCTCAAACAATCCAGGCGAATAAGAAAAGACGCCCGGACCCGCCTTTGAAAAAAGGCGAGCTCACATACTTATCCACAGATAAGCTGAACCTACCCAAAGGCAGGGCAGGAAAACTAAAGCCCCTATACATAGGGCCTTATGAAATCCTGGAAACATTTCCAGAAACGTCCAACTACGTCCTCAAGTTGCCACCACAACTTGAACAACGCGGAATCCACCCAAGATTCCATGTATCCCGGCTAGCACCTCACGAGCCGAATGACCAGGAAACCTTCCCAAATAGGGAAGTAAACATATTCTACGATTTCGGGGAAGACCCTGATCGCGAAGCAGTAGTTCGCGAAATCCTAAACCACGCGTGGGTTCACAACGAACTCTGGTTTAAGGTTAAATGGGAACTAGGGGACACCACATGGGAACCCCTAGGAAATTGCGACGACCTCGTCCACCTGGACGAGTACCTCACCTTACAAAATGTAAGGGAACCAGAAAAACTCCCTATCAAAGAAGACAGGGAACTCTCGGAATTATTACGCCCCCAAAAATGGAGGCGGAAGAAGTAAAGCCGAGGGACGATGGCCCACAGCCAAGAGCGTGGGAAAGTTCTGGGCGAGTAACTCGCCCGGACAGCCACACCATGTACAAGAAATCACATGGGCTAGGCAAGCAACTCGCCTAGACCACGTGAACCACAGGCTCACGTGCAAAAGAACACACAACCACGGCGAATCCCACGCACACAAGAACGAAGACCCCTCCCACCGCCACGAGTAACATAACGACGAGATGTCGTTCTCTGGGGGAGGCAACCCTCGGTTCGATCCAAACAAACCGCCGGATATCGAAATACGACAACCCGGGGAGCAAGGCTCCCCGGAACAACAACAACACCAGGCGCAGATAAGCGCCATGGATTACACGACGCACGCAGCACAAATGAGTGCTGCGAACCATCAACCATCCGCGTTGCCAACAGGCATCGCACACCCCCAGCCTCCCCAAAGAGGCTTCCAACCATACGCAGTGCAAACTGCACCGATGGCGCAACAAGCGCCATTCCAGGGGCAGCATTTGCTGCTGCAGCCCCAGGCATACTCCCCAGGGAACTTCCCTGGCCAGATCAACCCCTGGTTTAGCCAATTCGGCCCAGGTCCAACAACGCCCCAGCCAAATGCAGGCTGGGAATCAGCCATCGCGTCAGCGGTAGCTGCTCAGACAGGTCAACTCCGTGAGGAGCTGAAAGAAATGAAGTCCCTCGTAGGAGGGAGACGAGGGAGCGACAGCGGCTCCTCGTCCAGACCGTCCAAGCGGGCACGGTCTAATAACTCGAGGGCGTCAGAAGACGCCTGCGACCATTGCGCCCACTGGAGGCGCGAATACAATAGAGCACGAAGAGATGCTGAGGGCATCTTTGACTCTCTGAAAGACGCAGAGAGAGAAGTCGATCTCCAAAAAAGGGAGATCGAATTACTGAAACGCGAGCTCAGAGAGGCACGCGCACTGGCAGACCTCGCTGCCAAACCCATCATGACGGGGGCCTCCCAGGTCAGGGGGAGGGGATACGGTTCCGGGCCTCATGAGGCGCGACCCCAAATGGGGACTAGCGCATCAAGGGGTGGGGCACCGACTATCCCGCCACCCCATGGGCAGGCGACCCTGTCCGGGTTGCATAAAGGCCCGCCCTCAGAGGGGCAAACCCATGTCGAGGGGAAGAGGGAGAGTGGTAGGCAACCGACGGCAGACCCTAAAACGGGGACCACTGCCAGAGGCGGCGGGCCACTGAGTACCTCAGCACCCTATGGGCAAGCCACCCTGCAGGGAAGTGTCCACATGCTATACAAGACCGCCGAACTCAACGAGTTCGGCAAAGTCGAAGCTCCAGTCGACATAACAATCGACCCCAACTTCCCCATGAGGAGAATAGCGGGGTCAGAAGCGGCGCATGACGCCGCATACGCTTGGTGGACAAGCGTGAGTGGGAAAGAATTCGTACACTGGTACGAACAGGCTGAAGCCGCCTTCAAAAGCGGCAAGGTACACAGAACCCTTCGCGAAAAAGCGAAGGAAACCGAGAAATACTTCTTGGGACTCCCGAGCATCGCAAGACTCGCGGAGGAATATAATTCCCCGGAGAACAAGGGAAAAATCTCCTGGGAAAGTCTAGGCAAAGCTGCCTACTTAAAGTCCCAGTTCAAACCACTCAGGACTCCTGAGGAACGTGCCGCAAGAACGGCGGAGCGGGAAGCGAAAGCTTCCAAATACCGGGAAAGAGACGCAAGTCTCCGAGCTGGACAACCAGCCCAACGACCATCCTTCCCCACGGGAAGAACGGTAAACCTACCGTACTCTACACCTGAGCCAAGCAGCTCAGGAACACAACAACCCGCTCCCACCCAGGGAGCACCCACTTCGTCGAGCCCACAGCCCGACAATGTAGCCCAGGCTACGTCATCGCATCCGACGCAGCAATCGGATGTCCAGATGAACAACCCGGAGGAAAACCCTCCTCCGGGGCAATGAATCCACCCTTGAGAGAAGGGAGAGTGACACGGTAATACGCCATCGAGGCGCCCGTGAAAACACCCCCCCCAACTCGAGGCCCCGCACACAATACTGTATGCGAGGAACCGCAAGTAACAATTGCGGAAATCTCCACTCCGCCAAAAGACCCACACCCACCACCGCTCGTGTGTAAACACCACTTACACACGAACCCTCACAGAACAAGTGAGGAACACCAAAGAAATACAACCTTTGGGTCGAAATCCATTTTCGACAAACTCCACCACTTCTTTCTTCTCTCCCTGCGATACCAATGTATCGCCGTTCACTTCAAAGTAACGGCCCACACTCATTCAAACCCCTTCTCTTCCTTTCACCAACATGTACAAAATCGCCCACTTTAAAGTGGTGACAACAGAAACACTCATTGATAATTCCAAACTCAATGTAAACCAACTATTAAAATTCTGTTTTTATTCACTATCAACTTTGTATGCGTCGCATATGCAACGCAAGGGGGGAGAATGTCAGGGCAATAGCCCCGAACCCCGAGTCACATGTAAACTAGATAGATATAGTCACGTGGACAAGCGGGAACCTCCGGGTAACCGCTTACACACCACCGTAAAATACATCATCTTGTATCACTTACGGCTTTGTGTGCTGAGCAACCCCAAAGACCTCACATGGTCTTCCTCACGACGGGAGGGTCAGCGGCAGAGGCGAGAATAGGAGAAATGGGGGCGAGAATGGGGGAAACAAGGGCAGGAACCGAGGAAACAACCTGGGGCTCACTTGGTTCCTCAACCACCAGGCCCACAGGAAGGGGGTTGACGATCTCAGGCGGTGGCATTTCTTTTCGACGCCTACCATGTTGTTTCTGATTCACCATGGGCTTAGCCACAGTCACTACTGCGTGAGTGGTGGTGGGATCAGATTCGCTTGGTGGTGGCACATCCACTGCCCATCGCATTCCTCTTGTTGTGACCATGTGGACATGTAGATGGGAGTAAGAAGAGAGGCGGAACTGTACAGTTGTGAGAATCCGAACTCAGATGATTTACCAATTTGTCGCGCATTTTGGTGGCTGTACTTCAGACTCATCCCCAGTGCCAATGTCATGTCCATTGCCTCCATAATCTAATATTAATGTTGTGATGTTCAGAAAGTGCTAAATAAAGGACATGCGCGCACAACATTGCACTCAAATCACGATACTATTCCACTGTTCATGTGCAAATCGGCAAGAAAAAAAATCTTCTCATATTGCTGCGCCATCCGAACAATCATGAAGCGCTACTTGGACGCTTTCCAATGCATGTCAAATCGCCAAAATCGGTCGAGTTTTGAGTGAGCAGTGACGTGAAAGATTTTGCGGAATTTTGAATTTCGGAGTTTGCCTCGAATTTTGCAAATGGCAATAATTTGTCTAGGTGTAATTCTATGTAGCTGTCATATCCATACAATCCCAACCTCCGCTCCGGGCTCCCGGAACTCCAAACTCCGACTTCCAGAGCCCTACTTCCCTTCCATCACCTTCTCCTTGCTGACTCCCAAGAGGTTATCCCACCTCCGACTTGGACACCACCTTCAGTCCGACTCCGGAACATTCCGGGTCCGACCCCAACCTCAGCACCTTCCAGCCGAGTACACAAAACCTATGCTCCTGACTCCGGACCTCTGCTCTGGAATCCCGTTCGTGTCTCCATCTCCAGAACCTCCGGTCTTAGCTCCGACCTCGGACTTTGACCCCACCTCCGCTTATACCCATTGTATTGGTTAGCTCATTCCATTTAATTATGTTTGCCAATATTCCGGAGTTTAACTTCCGAGTTCGGACTTTCCGGACTTACATCGGACCTTGCAACTATTGCATTGTCCTATTCAATTCTGCTATTCTCCCTCACTCCTATTTGGGCTGCTGCTTCCTTTCTATTCAGTCAGCTAGCCATTCCCCACTCCCAACCTCCTTCCTTCCTCCTTGGGCCTTGGCCCTTCATTCCTCCTTTGGGAAACACCATTGAGTCAAACCCTTGACCCTCGGTGTTGTTCCTCTTTCCATCTCCCTTTGTCTCCTTTCGTCCTACCCTTGTTCCTTTTGATTCCGGACCCCTCCTTATATACAATGTACCTAGTAACTTGTAACCTCAGTCCGAAATCGACCTGAATTCCCCCCAAGAGACTTTCCCTCTGCTAGATCTGAAATTAGGGACCCCCAGGACAACCAGCAATGGCACAGCGCTCCGCCTGAGTCGCTGAGGCCGAGGTCCTTCCACGCTAAGTCTCCGATTCCATTCCGGAGTCGTCCGAATCCGCCCGGTTCTAACAGTAGCGTTGTTTAATTTGGATTTAAACTTGAATTTAATCTTCTACTTGGTGAAGTTTCAAAGATTCTATTCAGTTAATGAATTTGGTTTGTGTCTGGAGTGTCCCTTGAGTTTGTTTTATTTTTGTCTTATTTTATTGCTTGTTTTAACAGTAGCAAGATAACTGTTTTGTGTTTACACTTTGAAATCTGGAGTGTTAACCAGCTCTCCTGTTGAAATATCTACTTAATATTTCTCTCCTTAATTGCTGCCTTTTACTACAGTGGCAATCTTAACTGTATATCACTTTTTCGCACTGGAGTGACAACCAGAAATGCTTGAGAAAAATAATACTCTATTTTCTTACTTCTCTGAGGGGGGGTGAAAAGTCACAGAAAGGGTCTCCTTTTTATACTCCTTGGGTCGCCTTCCTTTTTCACGCTCTACCTTCTATTTACAGGATTTATTTACAGTGTATTTTTCTCAAACTGAATAAAAAATGAAATTTTCACGCTATAGTTCTACTGCACTTGTGCTGCGCTGAACTGCGGTTCTACTGCGGTCAGACTGCGCCTAGAATCCTTATTGTCCTCCCTCGCCTAAGCTATTTTAATGGTTAATTAGAACTTGGCTGCGCTGCATTTGTCGCAGTTACCTATTTCAAATTCCCTATATATACCATTAAATTTGCTATGACTCGATGATTCTGAATTCAAACTTCGCATTACTATGCGTACGGCTGTGCTGAGACCTTCAGCTGATTTATTCCAATTTTATTTAGTGACATTTAGTTAAAATGAGACTGAAATGGTAAATGAGTGAATTATTCAGGTTTAAAACTGAAAGAAAAAGTTGCTAGTAGTCAAGAATTACTCAAACGAATGTGTTATAGCTCTCCACTTCATTAGAACATTGTTCCCTAAAATTCCTGCCATGGTCCATCGTAGTTTAGTGGTTTTCGTGAATTTCGTTCATATTCCCTGATTCCCCTTTGTATTGTCACACCCTAATCCTCCATATGTATTGTTTGTTGTTATAGTAGGTCGTCCTTGAAGATATCATATTTCTATGTATTTTATTTAGGACTCTGGACCTCTTGAAGCTGTCTTCCCACGCATTTTCAGGTTTCTAACTTCATGTCCTTGTATCTCATTCATTTCTGGATGTTTTCTCACGTTCTTGGTATCATAAATTTTTATTTATTCCCACCTTTCCAATGGTACTAAGGTTGTGTCCTATTTCCTGGTATTCGTTGAGTTAGCAAAAGTTTGTGCACACATTTGGTAATCATGTGCATTGTTCCCATAGTCGTTCATATGCGGGCACTGTTTCCGTTTAATTGTTTGGGATTTATGATATGCACGGGTGTTTATTTCTTTCATATGGGCTTCTGTGATTTATTTCAGATTTTCCCCTCATGATCTAAGGTTGTTTTGCACTTTCCGTGCTTTGTTTTGACCAGGCTCTTCCTTATTTGGATGGAAATTGGTCTTCGCGATTTGCTGAAGTGTGGATCTCGGTTCCGACGGCCAGTTCCCTGCACATTGCCACCCTCACATGTCATTACACATGATGTGGATTTCTATATTCCCGTCATGGGTATAACTTCACAACGGCTGGACCGTTTAGGCTGAAAATTTGCATAACTATAGTTCCCCATTTCTCATAATTTCCGTGTAAATTTCGTTGTATGTTTTAATTATGGATCCTACGCAAACATCGTCTTTTCCCTGAGCTCGGACTTTTGATGTCGCTATTCCTGTTATTGGTTATCTCATTAATGCATGATCCTTTTATTATGAAAATTTGGGAGGATTAAGATTAGATCCCTTCCTTTCTAATGGGCTATCAAGCTTGTCTCGGTCGTTACTAGTTAATCTTCACGCTTGCCTTTTAGACATTGTCCTCGTTTTGCAGGAGCTTTAGTCATATCTCCGTCGTTTATGGGTAGTTTCCCCTGTAATTACTCTCATTGGGTCCGTTTGGGGGACATCTACATTTCCTATTATAGACACGACTTTTAATTTTGCATTGGTTCCTGAGGAATCCTTGTTCCGTGGTACTTCCATCCTTGGCTACATGTGTGGACATGGGAAAGTAGCTTCTGTGGAGGTTCTCTGATTGTTTTTATAGTCAAATCTTGGTCGATTGTCCTAATTCTTTGTTTAATATTTGCTATAAATTCCCCCGAGAATTCCGTCTCGTTGATGGTAAGCTTGAAGTATTTTTGCTAATTTTCTTTCTTTCGATTTATTGCGTATAGTCATAATAATTCGTAAAATTTCGTAAAATTTCGTTAAAATTCAGGTCCTTCGATTTTCTCATATCTACTTGTTGTATGAGGTTTTGTGATTTATCTGGCATATTTCCATAATGGGTTTCCATAGTGTGACTGTTATTTCTCCTACACCGCAAGACCATATGCCTCTTGCTTTCTCACATTTGCATCTTTTTGGCTGCTCTGCCTGTCTCCACTCATGTATCTGCACCCCTAATGCCCTCAATGCATTCTCCCTGGACTGCCTGATCTTGGTTTTTGACCAGGCTGTGCACCCCAACGTGTGAGGGGCTTCGTGGTTTGTCTGTCAACTCCAGTTCCAAATAGCCTGCACATCAAATTGAGTGATGGCCAAGAGGTGGGGTGAGATCTTCTTGCATCAGCTCTCTCCTCATCAGTGTTGCACAAGACCGAGTCAGACTCATGGTCACAGGGACTCCAGGTCAGATTGGGGTCGGACTGGGTGTCTCAGTCCATTCAGGTCTGAACTAACGGAGTTATAGCGGACTAACGGATTTAGCTACAAGTGTTCGACTTGTCACCACAAACATTCCATCCTGCCACCATCTCTAAGCTCCCATCTAGGTCTTCTCATGTTAAGAGGTCTTTGTTTCTAGCACTAAGTTCTGCTCACCCTGGACCCAGTAAAGGAGTCCCACATTGAATCTCACGTCAAATTGAAAATATCTCATACCCTTTTCCCCTGAAAACTTACACCCTAGGTTGTAAATAGATACTTTGGGAGGAATGGAAATTGGAACTTGGGGGGATCTTGAGGGTAGACTCTGTGCAAAGATGGTGGCCATGGTTTATGTCATCAGGTCATGAGGGATGTCCATGCTTGTATGTTTGCCATTTGATGAATACTTCTCAAAACAAATTAATGCGATGTATGTATACCAGCTTCATGTAGTTCATCTGCTGAGCATCTTTGTGTAATGCTTCCAATTGAGATGCCCTCAGAATCCTTAGATAAATTGAGAAATTACAATGGAGGAACAGCTCTGCAGGGCTTTGTTTATCTGTAAGTCATTTCTCAGAGACTTTTAGACTAACCCATAAAATAGAATTAGCCAAAACACTCGGATTGGTACTATAAATACAACAATTTCACTAGTACACTTCCCTATCCTAACTAAAGAACCAGGGAACAGCTTGATGGTGGTCTTGTTTGAACCTCCCAACTGACCTTCCTTCATTCTCTCCTTCAATGGGCATGCGCTTTGGGGGCCTCCCTGGAACGGAGTACCCACAAGACTTATATCTCTGCCTTCATGTCCTATGCCGCTTTCTGCAAGACTCACGGTTTCCCATTGAAACCATCAGAAAACATGCTTAGGTTCTACATTGTTTACATGTGCCACTACATCCAACCATCATCCATCAAAAGTTACCTGTCAGGGATTTGCATGGAGCTGGAAAGCACTTGGCCTGACACTCGCTCAATCAGAAACTCCCCTTTTGTATTGCATTGCCTGAGTGGCTGTATGAAGCT